GAGGTTGTCCCCAATGTGTGATGTACATATGAAACAATTTCTTTTAAAACTCCTGAGTGAAAACGTCAAACTAGGCCAGGCATGTGAAATGGAATTTTTAGAGAGAGAAAAAATGAACGGCTTATGTCTTGGGGGCAATATTACTTTTGTAGGGTATGTAAAAGACATCCCATTTTCTAAACATGTAGACGTAGAAGAAATCTGGAACCTATGCAGATAATTTTAGCAAGCTTTGCCTTAATTAAGTAGACAGCCAACCAAAACTAGGTATCATATCAGATTAATTGGTTACTTATCAATTGAGATAAATTATTTGAGGACCCCCTGTTGACAGACGCATCTCTAAAGTTCTTTCTAAGGAAAAATAGCTCTCATTACAATCTGCTTGGTAACAACTACCAAAATCCTGACCAATCAGTTCAAATTTTAAAGGTGTTATTTGGCACCATAACCCAGATGTCTTTAAAGGCATCTTTTCTGCTGTCCTTAAGTCTTTATTTTAAGATTGTGCTCGAAAATAATAATTGTCACATTCAGCTTGATTGCCGCCCAGCCGGTGTAGTGGTTAGTGACAGACTGCTGTAGCGATGGGCCTCGGTTCAAATCCTGGAGAAGGCATGGTTGTAACTGTCCGTCCTGTCATAGGAGGCAACGATAGCCACTTATTAGGTGCTTCCATAATAAAATGGCTAATGCTTCCAGCCCTTGTAGTGTCGCAAGGCTAGTTGCTGTTAAATAAAGCGCCTGACCATTGAAAAAAAAAAAGTTTGATCTTTACATTATGGTAACTTGGCGATTTTTTGGTGAAAATTTGGCAACCAACTCTCCTACAGCAACCCTCTATTTTTTTTTCCCCGCCGCCAAAGACGTGTTTCTTTTCTTTTTATCTACTGAACACTTCTTCCAACAATCTAGTAGCCGAATTACACTTATGCTAGAAATTTTATCAAACAAAACTGCTTATCATGACAAATATTCACTGCAAAATTGGGAAAAAGTGCACAATACCATACTCCTTACGCGTTTTTCAAAATAACACATACACATAAACCATGTACACGCCGACTTATTTTTACTTAAAAAAACATCCCAGAATTGCACAAAAATGGCATTGCGCACACTCTTCACTATATCCATGTACGCTGCTTTTTCCTCATAAATTAGAAAAATTTCACGAAAATACATGACAATTTTCTCAATCTTTCAACCCGGTAAAAAGAACATATATGAAATTACCTGATCGCGAAAAAGTATTTACCCTTTACAAATAGGAACATTTCCACATATAAAATAAATAAAATATCCAAAAACTTTTACCTCTAAATCATCTATTACATTATACACGTCACCAACGAATTCATACCGCAAGCATTACAAATACTTAGTATCAAATATTTAAATTATTTCCATGCACGTTTATTTCAACTAAAACGTATACCAAATTCCTACAAAACATAAAATTCACAAATAACTATCATTTCATTAAATATAATTAAATTCAAAACACTACTTAAAATATAAATGAGCACATACATTAAATTAATAAAAAATTACCTTACAATCCTAATTACTTTAAACTAAATCATTGCTAATAACAATTTTCCCAATAATACCAATTCCTTTCCACCTTACATTTAGAACAATGTATAAAAATAATATCCTCAATAATTAAAATACTAACTTACCTAATCTTCTTCAGATCTTGATTACGTGGCGATACACTTTTCTAATTCATTCAATAAAATTATTGAAAGATTTTTCTGCGAATTTTTCCTCATACTTCCTCCGCTAAATAAAAAGCAAACTTCTCTTTTCATCACATGCCTAATACCCCATTTCGAATTCACTTTAGTTAGGGCCATGGGATCCAAAAATTAAACAACACTGTTTTCACACAACACAGAATAAGCTAAATACAAAATTTCCACATTTTTTCCCGATTTCCCCCCTTTTCCGATTAAAGAACCGTAATTCGTCCATTAATATCACATGACATATCCCATGATCTCTCATTTCCCTCACGCAAAATAATGCGTAATCGGAACTGAGTACTGCTCACATTATTACCAAAGTCCCAGGTAGTAACCTTTATCGCCTCCAAAATGTCGCCAAACTACCAGTTACCATATTGTAAAGATCAACCAAAAAAAATTCTGTTAGATGTATTTAATGTACTTCGCTTTCCTTTGTGGATGAAGTGCCATCTGGCAGACTAAATTGCAATTAAAAATTTTGCAAACTAAAATTCCTTTACAAAAAGCTCTCCATTTTATGCATTTCTCTGCTGATTGCATTGCTTTTGAATTGATCTTTGAATCATTATATATATCATTTCATCACCATTACCTTCAAAATTCCTCTAAAAAAAGGGTCCATGATTTTGGTAATTGCTTTGTTTCTGAATACATTTTGTAATTTGTTTTTAATTTTTTAAACGTAAACCATACATTTGTGGTAATTGAAAAAAAGAAAAAAAATCTGAAAGTTTTCAGATTTTTTTTTTTTTTCTTTTTTTTTTAAATTACAAATTATTTCAAATTTACAAATAATTTTTTATTATTAAAAATTATTTTTCATTATTGCAAACCATTTCGAACAGTAGCATTTTTTCGAAATACTTTTTCCCGCGTGTTTGTTAATGCCATTCTTTACATTTAGTTATCTTCAAGGTATTTAATATGATGAAAAATAGTAAATGATAATTTTGGAAAGTATAAAAAAATTACAATTTAATTAGTAAAATTTTAAATATTTCCTTTCCAAATTTTTCTATTCGAGTTGACGTTTAATTTCATCTATCAAATATTTAAGGCTTTCCGAATTTTCATGGTTTTGCATGGCATGGAATTATTTAAGCATCGTCGATGGTTACGGGAGTATGATTTTAATACTTCATTTTGATTATATTAGAAAAATTATGTTATACAGGATGATCCAAAGTTCAGTAACGTTATTACTCCCAAAGGGGTGTTTTTTTAACGTTTTGTGTGCTACATTTATTTATTAAATATCATGTTCTTCGCACTTAAACCACTAAAATTCAATTCAACAGCGATATCACAAAATATTTATAGAATATAAAACAGAATATCTTTAGAATTTCCGATAGACATTCTCACGCGCTGAGATTTTTTTTTTTTTTTTTTTCCTTTGCAGTGTCGCCATTGCTTCGCTTTGAAATAGTTGAGTTTGGTAATCAAAAATTTATTAAATTTTTACAAAATATGAAATAGATAATAAAACAAATTCAAAATTCGGGCTACCATGTGCCCATGTTCGAGTAGAGAATTACGTAATTCAAAATTTGATGGCTCTAGGTACCGTCTTTTTTTCACAATGCGAGAAACATACTTACATTCATGCACATTCTCCTTTATTTAATTTCTTTTCAAATAATACATGCGATAATGTATGGTGGCAACAATTATTTGAAAAATGATTCAACGAAAATACCTTTTCGAGACTAACAGCCCTTCTGAGATAACGCTCCTTTGAGCTAATAATCTGGTTGCTAAATATAATAATGTATTATTAACTATTTATCTTGTCTCTTGACGCTGAATTGAAATAATTCGATTAAGTTTGTTTTAGAGCATTTTATTTGGAGTGCTCATAAAAATTGCCCACTTGTTGAGGTGGACAATCAATATGCGGTCATTCTGGAAATGATGCTGTATTAACGAATTTGATTAAATGAAAACGTTTTAAATTAAGCGAGCTTCAAACTGCACTTTTGTTGATAGTTATGTAATCATCAAAATATCTACGAGATCTCTTGCTGGTGATCTATCATATATCATACTGCAAAACTTCTTTCACATCTCGGAAACTGAGGTAAAGTAAAACTTGCAAGTGAAGTTTTAGTGAGTAGGGACAATGCGGAAACTGCTGTGCTCATTATTTATTCAGGTAACTGTGACATTGAAATTAATTGTTATTGCAATAGAATTATCGTGAAGGAGGGCCCAATCCTCAGCTATCCAACGTGCTATGCGAATTGCTATTATGCTGCATGATTTTCAGATAGCAAATCTCATTGGTTGTTTTTATTAAATGAATTCTTACTAAATGACGCCTTCTCTAACAGAAGAACATTTCTATAATTTCTATCATGAAGCCTTTGAGTGGTCATTTCGAATTATTTTCCTGTCAATGATTGTTATTACTTTCAGATGCTAATTTTGTATCTGGTATCACGGTTTGTCATAAACATCGCACTTTCGTGACGACTTGCCATCGAAATAAGGGATCCATTTCAACTGCATCAATAAACTCGATCATACCTTTGATTAAGTTGATGTTCTGCAAAGAAACATGCTGTCTCTTTCAGTGACGTCTTCTGCAGTATAACAGCTCCGAAGCGCTCGAAGGCTGTCTAAAGATTGCCTTTGAGCAAACTGACTCATTTACGTTATACAGCAAGAAAACTATAAAGCTGTCTTGCAGCGCGTTCGTTCGCTGGAATTTGAGGCTGGGTAGAAGCACCAGTGTTCAGCAATTTTAGCATTCTACCGCTGATGCGCTCACCAGCAAAAGAGTAACGGCAGTGCTGTGTAAGTAGCTTGGTTTCGTATTGCCAAATTGGGCCACTCTTGACCTAGAAAATAAGACTACAAAATGCTGATTACCGGAGTCTATTGCTGGTGATTAACTAGAATGGCTCCGTGGGACTTTAATAGTTTTCTCTTACCGATAACATAGATATGTGCCAATATCCCTAGTAAAGTCCCCCCAAAAGACATCTCTCTTATGTGAAACAACTTTCAAACTCTTCGCCATAATAAATAACTTATGAATAAATTTTTCAAAGTATGACATCAGTCCTGGAATTTTTAAATCATTATATAGTGATTTTTTTATGGAAATAAAAAAAGAAAAGTTAAAATTTTTTTTTTCACGTATTTCCTTAAAATTTTCTGTACTAATTATATTTTTATTTTGTTATATATTTTAAAAATATGGATATGAAAATATTCTACCAAGTAAAATCAAAAACAAAATTGACAAACATATCTTTTATTTCAATGCTCTATGATTTTTAAGAAATAAATACCACAGACAAACTTCATGAAAATTTGTGCAGTGACACACTATAAAACCAGCTTTCTGTTTCCATGTGGTGTCAAAACAAAGAAAAGTTTCTTAGAGAAAGAAAAAAAAAGAAAATCAGTTTGAAATTTTCATTGAAAGAATTATTTAAAACGGCGAAACAACAAGAAATATGTATTTTACATTATTAGCACGTAGTTCATAATTATTTGCATGTCATTTGAGATGCAAAATGGAAAAGTTAAACTCCTTTTTTTATAAGGACTAGGAAAGTCGGTAAATATCACTTAGAGCCACTTTTCAGATTTATCAAAACTGATTGTTATGATAGCTCTGTACCAAGTAATTCAACCGTTTTTATTTTTATTTTCTTATGAATATAGTAATGATGTCCCAGAAAAACTACTACACATAACACACAAATATTTGCTAACAGCAAAAGACCTAGACCAGCAGCAAAGCTGGATGGAGCTATACATACGTCGTTACTAAAGTCTGTTTTTCCAACATAAAGCGGTTTTATTTCTTTGCTGTCTTTTGTTACAAATTCTAAATCTGTCGTTGCTATCACACGTAAGGTTTGCTTAAGGCCCAGCTGTTCATTTTCCCCTATTTCTCTTCTTCCACGTCGTCTTCCTGGTCTCCTAAGCTTTGATTTGATGTATTCTTTTTGAGACGGATATCTATTCATATACTGAAAGCCATCTCTATCTAGAAACTCTACATTCGTGCTGTGGTGACTGTAATAATGCAAAGGAATGCCATTGTATAGGGTTAAAGGTGGCAGAGGTGCTGGCGGGACAAAAGGTCTATAATTTTGAAATTCATAACTTTGTTTTGCTTCATAATTATCTAAGGGTTTTCGTGCTTTTACTCTATAATCATCGAATTCCATTTCTGGAAAGTTCTTTCCCAGTGTATCTTCTTCATTCACTTTTCGATTAGAGCTGTATTCGTAATAATCCGATACTGCTTCCTTGCTTTCGACAAATGCATCATTGTATTCATTTGACTCAATATATGAACCAGAATTTAATTCAGCTGTTGTATTTTCTTCTGATTCAGATTTTAGAAGTTGGTTTACTACTTGGGATTGAATATCGTGTTCAAACAATTCATTCTCGTTGTCATTTTTTGAAATAAGGGCATCTGCTTCATAGCTCTGATGTTGACTTCCATTTAAAACAGTTTCTTTGTTGGTTTCCGTAATCAAATCTGTTTCTAAAGGTTTTTCAGTATTTTCTTCGAATTCTGAGTTTTCAGTACTTAAAGAATGTTTTATGAAGTCTTGATCAACAGTAGAAAGCAGCAAAATATCATGAGTAGTAGTTTCTATCTCAGAAAATGATTTATTTTCAGTCTTGTTCAGTAAATTCTGTATTTTTTGTTGCAAAGGGAAATTTTTTCCTTGCGCATTTACATCAAAAATATTTGGAAACTGCGAATAGTAAACATCATCTTTGTTTTCAGAATACTCAGCTTCTTCCTCAAAAGGGTGTTCTTGTTTATCTTGCCTATCCTCTGCTACTAGGTCATCAAATAAACCATAGGGATATTTACTGTAGAAAAAATTGTGGATATCGGGACTACTTTGTAATGGTTCAGAATCTTGCTCTTTAGAAACATTCTCATTTCCATTTACGCTGTTTAAAGTATTAAGATTGGAGGAATTTTTGTAAGGATTTGGTCTGGAAGTAATAACAGTTGAGAAAGGATAAGAATCTTTATAGGTAGGAATGTCATCTGAATCTTTATCAGAAGGTTTCTTTTCGGGGTTTGCAGGCAACGAATCTCTTCCTTGCGTGCATGTACCAGGGCAGCCATTTCGGCATATTTCTACAGTGCATTGAATTGTCACTTCAACTGTTTCCGGAAATTTAAATGCATAAAAATGACTATAAGCTATAACACTAGCAGTTCCCTTTGTTTCTGTAGTCTTCTGAAAAGGAGACATCATTTTGGGTCTTAAAACGCAACCATCTTCATCCGTTAAATGGATAGGATGCTTCTGGCCATCGTGCGCTATGCAGGATTTCACTCGCATATCAAACTGACTTTCACTATCTTGAATGGCAACGACTAAAGTCAAAGGGCTTCCTAAAGGAACAAGGCCTTCAACTTTAGCTGACCATGGCCCTTTACCGTCTTGTACTTCAAGCCAGCAATCAACATCATCACCCTGAAAATTCATTTCTACCACATCCAAGTCTGATATTGTTATGGGCATCTTATACGCTGATTTTTCGTAACCATCATGCCATTCGCAGCGAATTTTTTTGGCTTCATCCCAGGCTTCTATTACAATGTCGTCGTATTGGATAATGATAGTATTCTCATAATATTTTCCTTTAGGATCTGAACGCGTTCCACATTTATCATATTCTACGGTAAATGTTGCTTCAGTAATGTGTGAATGAGGAGCCACATGAACACATCGGGAAGAATGACCATTGGCTTTGGAATAAATAGTGCCATCGAAAGGAGCGCTAAATGCTAAATAGATTGTCATCTCGTCTTTTCCACAATCCACACTTAATTTTGTGAGTTCTGGAAGCCCATCTGGTGGTCCAGATCTCCAGTTAGTTGTGCCATCACCCCATGACACCTGCAAAATAAGAAGTATTAAATAATTTTTATATTTTTGTTTCTATTATTTATGGCACAATGTATTACTTTAAAAATATTAATCACATGTAGGAGGAAATGCACTTTCTTATGAAATCTAAAAAATAATTTTATATAAAAGAGGTTTAAAGTAATAGCTTATTTATGTGTGCTCTCTAAAAGACTTAGAAATACTTTTCAGCAATATACATATGTGATATTTGTGAAATCAAAATTCTATCGTCCAAAGAAATGAATGTTTCTAAAAGGTGGAAGACGAATTATCGTCCACCACCTTTTAGCTCGGGTGCCACTTGCAGAATCATTAGTTATATTGAGGCAGGAATGCGAAAAATGGACAGCGCCACTCGCCCGGATTCGAACTCCGGACCTCCTGAATTAGCGTTGAGTGTGCTTTCAGTTACATCACAAAGGAATGCGGAAAAGAGGGAGAAAATACCTTATAACTGTTATTTTATACTACTGTAGCGAACCTCCAAATGTATGAGAAACGGATAATGAACTGTATGGATATCTTCGATTAAAACGATAATAATAAACATATCTTAAGACGCCATATGATATACATGACGAATGTGAATTGGTTCTCTGTTATTCGAAATTTGTGAATGAGTTGCCAGACAGAACTCTATTCCATTCTGATGCTTTAAGGTAAACTATGAAATTTTCGCTATTCAGGAAAAGAGGCATTAGTGAACTTTACGAGATAGGGGCTGTAAAGTTGATTCGCATTTTGGGACATAAAATTTTAATTCTGATTGGTTGGTTTTGTTTAAGAATAAATGCTCTCCGAGTTCCGTCTTTTGAAAAGGGTTTTTTATTGTGGTTTGTCTCATTTCTCTGATTTAATCAGAACAAGTCCAAGAATTTTCTTCATGGCAAAGATTGCGTCTGTTATGAAAAGCCATTACGTCTGCCATTGGCATAGGCCTTGAGCACCATATAAGTGATAGTACGACTTTGCCCAACTTCACCCCAGCTGTGGAGAGCAACCTCAGGAGATGGGCGGGAGAAATCTCCCTTCCATCTTTCCCTTTCACCAAACCAATCAAGAGGACTTCTGGCGTCATCTATTTTGAGTGCTTCTATGCCGCACAGATACTATGCAGTTACAAACATGTTTACCTTCTCTAGGATACGAAGTCGAGCTCAACCACATAGTATCCAAAAGCACTACCGCTATACCTAATAGGGTGGCATAGGATATTCTTTATGAAAGGTATTGAATCTTTGCTTTGGAAGCATACATACCTTAAGGAAAGTGGGCTGGTCAAACTTCAACACTCTGGGGTCATAGTTATCACCACTCGGACTACGAGGAGCAAAACAACTGCAATAACTTTCATCCAGCAGCTTTTAATCTCTCCGACGGTATCAGCATAAATGACCAAAGAATTCAGAGCAACAGTAATAACCTTTTCACAGATGGCTCCAAAACTGAGAACGGCATGGGCAGCGCCTTCTGTAGACTGGAAAATGGAGTTGTAACATTCGAGTAGAAAATTAAACTAGGCTTGAACAACTCGGTATACCAAGAAGAGCTTCTAGCTATCAGTGCTGCAATTAGATATGCGAACACGTGTCAACAGGAGAAATTCTCCATACTCAGTGATTCGGCATCAAGTCTGGCGGCTATCGCAAGTCAAAACAGCCGGAGTCCTTTGGTATACCGAATTCAGAAGCAGCTTCTGACAATGCCTATTTCGCAAAGACCCACTTTAAAATGAGTTCCCGCTCACACAGGGATTCAAGGCAATGAAGCCTCTGACCTCCTCGCCAAGCAGGCAGCCAACTGCACTGATATATTAGAAAGACCAACTAAACTTCCTCGGTCTCATATTAAGCGAACAACTTTGACAAGTCTGCTACAAAATTGACAAAGCAGATGGATAGAGGCAGAGGTAGGACGAAGGACATTTCGCTTACTGCCAAAAGTTAACATGGAAATAAAGACCCACTGTGCTAGCCTAACACAGTTCTTGACAGGTCATGGACCATTCCCAGTATACCTGAACAGATTCAGACTTAGGTATACTGCTTTCTGCGAATGCGGAGAGGAAGGTGCCACGGACCATTATTACTTCCATTGTGTACATACAAGAACCTGGCACTTGAAGAAACCAGCGGACTTTGCCTGGGAAATGTGGACGTCTAACACACTCAAAAACAGAGTAGCCCTTGATAAAATAGAGAAAATCTCACGACACTGCCTAAGCAGAAACAACCGTGAATAATATTATGTTTCAAATGTTCAGAACTTAAAGCAGATAACCAGAATAACGCTTAGTGCCTTGCACTTATCAATATGTAAAAACTGTTATTAGCATGTAATATTCAACCTTGTTACTTTGGAGATTTCCCTGCCGTGATGGTATATAATTCCGTTTGGTTCATGTCCGTGGTCGGAAGCCATCATAGCGGTGCACTCACTCACTCACTCACTCACCTTAAGAAAAATAATTGCGTACCGGATTGTTGTCTAGCTTGAGTGCTCCCATACCGCACAGCTACTATGTAGTTACAAACATGTTTAAGTTCTGTAGGATACGAAGCCGATCCCAACCACACAGCATCCAGGAGCACTACCATTAAACTTATTAAGGGCCGTTCCCACTGGAGATTATCTGAGCTAACGGAATCAGTTCCATGTGTCGACTAGCTCCGCTGTGCCTGTAGTTCAGATTTTTGAACTTGCTGCCGTATGGGAAAAAAACTGGTTATGGATGGTTGTGTTCGTTAGCTCAGATAAACCCCAGTGGGAACGGCCGTTTAGGGTGGCATGGGATATTCTTTATGAAAGGAATTTAATTTTTGCTTTGGCAACATATATACCTTAAGGAAATTAATTGCGCACCGGCTTATCATCTATTTTGACTACCCCCATACCTCACAGATACTATGCAGTTACAAATGTGTTTACATTCTCTAAAATACGAAGCCGAGCCCAACCACACAGGATCCAGGAGCACTACCGCTGTACCTATTAAGGTGGCATGGGATATTATTTATAAAAGATATTAAATCTTTGCTTTAGAAACATACGAAACGTAACATACGTTAACGAAAACAATTGCGTAACGAAATTATTTTCCATTCTTTATCTTTTTCAGAAGAGCGAAGCTCTCACAAAACTCTTCGAGCAAACTCTCTGCTCCCTTATTTATATGACAAAAATTCACCCATGTGCGAGCTGTAAATCTTCTGTGTCAGGCGGCGTTAAGGTAATAAGTTAAGGCGAACGTTATTGAAAAATACAATATCGATATCTGCCGGAAATACAGTTTATCCAAATCAACATTTGGTACCACATGGAAGAATCGGAACTTCGATAATATTTGCTTATGTAAAGAAATTTGGATACAAAGGTGACCAAGCATAAGCATGTTGAAAAAGCATTGCTGAAATGCTTCAGATAAAGGCCAATGGATTAACAATACACTTTGGAGAGACTGTCTTTTTGTTCTCAGATGGTCGATTAAATAGGTTTTTAGAAGCGCGTGAACATTTCTTCAGAAAAAAAGTTCGGAGAATTAAGCAACATTTCAAAACAATATCTCCAGCCAATACCAGGAAAAAGGCATTTTCAGCGTATATGAAAGTGTTATGTTCTTACAAGACCATGCAAAACCAAATGTTAAAATTTAAAAGCCAAAGATGCACTGGCGGAAAATTGTCAAAGTGCTAATCATAGCTTTTGTGTAGACCAATATGAACGGCATTGAGCGACGTAGGCTTTCGTAAGTCAAAAATCTCAAAAACTAAGATCTTAAAAAACGTGAAAATAAGGTTAAAAAATTGTAATTATAAGGAATGGATGATGCCAAACTTGAAAATGATGCCAAATGGCTCTTCTTTCTCCCTTCAATTGAATAAACGCGCGCTATATAATTTGTATTTCGGAAATGTAAATTATATAGCGCGTGAAAAGCGTGGATGAAAGGAGAGCGACAGGAAAGTTACTTTAACTAAAAATTAACTGTTTGCCAAAATAAATAAATAAATCCTCACAAGATTATAAGGTATTTTCTCTCTCCTTTCCGATTGCTTTCGTGATGTAACTGGACAGCACGTCCGGCTAGTGATCGAGAGGTCCGGATCGAATCTCGGCGAGGGCACTGTACATTTTTCACATCTCCTGCACCGGTATAACTTAATGACTCAACAAGCGACACTCGGACTGAAAGGTGTGATCGATAATTTGTCACCACCAGGATTTGGCGGATGGGTCCTCTTAGCCCAGTAAGCTTTTAAAAGGGGAGAGTATATTTTCCCTTCTTACCCCGTGCTTTCGTGGATAACACGTCTGGCTAGTAAGGCGAGTGTTCGAATCCAGGCGAGGGCAATGCGCATTTTCACGTCTCCTGCAACGATATGACCTAACAACTTTACAAGATTGAGAAGCAAATATTATTATTATGGGAGAATTCATATATCATTTAACTATATCATTTATTTATTTCAGTAGGAAAAAATCTGAATGTTATTAAGTATTATTGATTTGTGTTATTAAGTATTTTTGAGAATGTTAAATGAAATGTGTTATTGCGTAATAGGGTAAATGTGTTTTAAAATTTGGCAACTGATTTGCTGGTATATATGCCAGATTCTGCTTCGCTTTGGTGCAGCACATTCTTATCGGATGGAGTTGATATGTACCTTTCTGAGGTCAGCCAATTAGCTTTCTCCTCATAGCCAACAAAAGAGACAAACGTTTAGTTGACATTTGACTTCGTTTTTCGATAACTTCTGTCGGGTGCTCGCACCTGAGTTTGAATTTGGTTTTGAGCCGGTGTGGCTGATAGAATTTTGTAGGATGTTGAGATAGTACCTGAGGGGGAAAAAAGTTTAACTCCGTGGTTGTTTTTTTAAAGTACACAGGATTAACCTTTGTAAATATTCCTGCCACAGTGGAGACCAAAGCTGTGATGCATGTTATCAATAAATTTTTAATAGTATAAATTGTAGAACCGCAAATGGAGG